CTGTCGAGCGATCCTGCATAATCCTCACCCTCAGCTGAAACCAAACGCATCCTTCTCTGGTGGTCTGTAAAGCTCCCTAGTTATCCATCTTCCACGTTTTCCCAAAATTCGATGAATCAGACCATCATATTTTGAACATCTCTCAACAATGTAGAATTGTTCCATGAGCTGAAATTTTTCTCAATCTCATTTATAGGTGCTATACAAGCGGTATGTTTAGGCGGTCAGGTTAACACAGGAATGGCATAACTATTCTGGACCACTTCAATACTATGCTTGATGATATACATTATTTGAAGGTTTGATTGATTTTTATTCTTTGGCATGTTTGTACTTCATGTAACATGTGTCAATCAGCTTAACCAAAACGTTAACTGCAACTCTAAGATGAAAACTAAGATAGAGTGACAACCTAAGACCTCGATGCATACAAATACAGTTTCGATCAATGGATTCAGTATTATTCACGAAGGACTGCACAACGCTTATTGCGTTTAATACAATTTGCAAGTAGGAATGCTACACAGTGTTCAATCAAAACACGTGCTGGGCCTGAGAATAAGTCGGTCTCGCTAGATACACCGTAATCTGAATGGCTTGCTAAATCGAAGCTCAATTCTTGTTTGCTTCTGGAAGTGACATTTGCTTAAGCCCTATGTTGTGAGTAAACTTATCAGGAAGCGCATTCGACGACAATGCTACTCAAGAGCCAACAATTTAGGATAGCTTCAGTCAACTCACTGATGTAGACGTTGAAGCACGTCGCATAGTAATGCGAGGCGCCACATTATGCATAAGCCCCGAGAAATCGGCAAAGTGTGTCATTATGTTACAGTGTCGTGTGCTTCCACAAAATTAAACACCATCTTACCGAGACCAGCCTATCGAACTCAACAGTTCCATGCATTTTCTTGTGTGGGTAGATTCCTTCATGAAAATGTACCGCGAAAGCTCGAATATCGTACAAACAGAAACATGAGGCGGCCTGTGTGCAGCACATTCAGCTGAAGAACATCACAAACAAAAGATTCACTTGAGTCTCTCGTGAAATTCAAATTGGTTTGCAAATGAGTGTATTTGTTGGGGTCTCCATCTACTTAGTCACTGCCCTTGGTTCCATAGATTTACGGTGTGCACCATGCCTCATATTATGTAGCATTCCCAGTACTAGGCAGTGTCTGGGTTCACGAACTGTGCACAGTGTTCAATCACAGTGTTCAATTAATCTAAGTTGGTCAGAGTAGTCGTGTCGGGTAAAAGTTTGGGTTCAGCCGAAGTTTGTTAATACCTTGCTGCAACCTATCTAGTCCCTAGATTTTCTGTGTAAAGATGATTAACCATAAACAACTCCCAATAACTTTTCCTCTTATGCAGCAATCAATATGTGCTCCCCTTGTAGTACTTAACTATGCTATGTTGTCAGCTATTTGAATGTATCTTTGCTCAGCTAGTATTTTGAAACCTATGTTATTCCGAATGAAACCACCGAGTTGCCCGTGGAAACTGCATTATTCACACCGTAGTTCATAGAGAATTCATCAAACCTTCACATCACACTCCTGCTATAATAAACTAATCCAAATTAAATCAAATAGGATCAAACGGAAAGATACATGACGTTCGGAAGGTATCCGTCGTCCCAAATTGATAGCATCTCATGGTCAGCATTGGTAGTCATATCTCCTATTTTTGACAGGGTTCTACGTGCTATAAACATTAGTTTCCTATCGTCATTGTCTTTAAGCGAAGCCGAAAAAATATTTTACTCGCAAGATCGCCTGATTTATACACTCCAGTCTAATGAAGACTACGCTCAAATCTCTAGAGGGTTGCGGAAAATTTAAATTTATGATTACACAATGGTCTCCTTTAAAAAGGACCGAACCGATGAAAGAAAACTCAGAGGATCAACAAAAAGTAAGTTCTTCCCAGAGACCTTTGCGAAGAATGCACTCTCAAGTGTACCTATATCTCTTATGCTACTAAGGTCAATTTAATACGTCCAACCCTAAATCGAGCTACATCGCCGGCTGAAAACACGGAGCAAACTGATTTGCAAGTAAGGTGGCCAAATTGCAACAAAGTAGGTAAACATCAGTGCACAAAAACAGGATTTATACCTAGAGTGGCTTGTAAACACTTGTTGATGTGACTAGTAGAGTACTAAATTCCTCGGTTAAATGAAGAAATCTAATATGATTTAAATATAATGCAGCACAAACTCTGCTTCATTTAACGCTGCATCTAAATACTTATCGAATTCTGTCACACTTTCCGTCAATGTCACTTCCGTACACACGTGAGACCTGAAAGACTTGCCGATCGATACAGCAAACCGAGGTGTCTCTAAGACATCGAGGGAAGTTTTGAAGCCACAAATAAAACTAATATAAACCAAATTTGCGCCATGCTACTAATAGAGATGTGGTCGTACTAGGTAGAGAATCTTGGATATTAGCTTACCGCTGATCATTTAAAACCGCTTCAAAGTTCTTTCTCACCACATAGTGGGATAACCAGAATGACGATAAAATTTGTCTTTTGTGGTTTAGAGCATGGGTGAAACTTACGCTAAACATTAAGGTTGATAGGTTGCTGTTCTTTTGGACAGAAAAATATCGAATCGCCGTTTATGTTATTGGCGTTTTTAGTTCACGGGTAACAAGAACCTAAATGACATGAAAAATGACAGGTAATCAACAGGTGATTTGGAATGTGAACAGAAATTATTTTATTGACTTGGCATAACGCGCGACTTATGAGATTTTAGACAGTTCAAGGGCAAAACCCTTGAAAAATAACTGGCTACTTCGTATGTGAACTACATTCATCTAATAAAGTTTCTTCGTCAAGCTTCAACGCAGGAGGGTAAATCGCCTATGAAAATCGTTTTCGGTATAAGCCATTAGTTAAGGGTAATATGAATCGGTAAGTTTTCTCTTGGTCCAAGTTTCTTTGGGCGCACCAAAATACATCCACCGGAGTCTAAGTTGAGGCTATGCTCCTCTGCTTCGAACTTAAGTACATGGTTAGTTGACTACCGAACCTTGAAATTCCTCCGGATATCAGTTAGTAAACTTTGCGGTTGCTTTTCGAACAATACTTACACGTTCCAGAGGTTGTTTCTGCATTCCTTTCAGAAAGAATTTCACATGATTCACTAAAACCCGTTTAAAATTAGCCACTTGAGATTGAGTTTAGTCTTATTACATGGTCTCTTGAGGCCTTCCCACTATGAGTCATGTAATGGGTGACGAAATGGTCACTTGCTATGCCCGCTGTCCTCATAATCCCGGTCTGTTGTTGTGCGTATTGTGAAAAATGAAGATAAGTGTCCAAATGGTGTGAAGATTCGGGGTTAAAGTTGTAAGTGGGCTAAAGCTAATCCGAGAAAGTCGCAGTGGTAGGAACTGAATTCCATTTCATTCCTTAAGACGTGGTTATGCCTCAGTTACTAAACCTGTGTGGCTTAACGTGTAGTTCTTACCATCATAAAACTATATTTCTAACCAGCGGGTAAAAATTTTTAATGTTACCGTTTGGCTTTTATTGGACTTCTTTTAGCATAATTAATTAGCATAATTAGCATAATTAATTAATTAATAATTAATCCATAATTAACCGACTAACATGCAACTGAGGATCCGTCTAGTGGAACACCTGATTACTTCTTAGTATTGGCTGGTATCATTTAAAGTGGCGTCCAACAAATGGAGCATGTTCACAGATACACTTCCATGCAGTTCAATAAGCCCTTTCTATTTCTAATTTTCGCAGCTGATCATGATGTTCAAACCGCGTGCGTTGACAGCTGACGATTGCCCGTACAATTATTTCTATTCGCTTTCTGGATTATTAGCGGTAGAAACAAACGCAGTAACAAAAGTGAAAAAAGTGACAGAGGCCCACAAACTCGGAATGATGTGGTCTGGATCATACAATATTCCTTCAACCATACGATAAGCCATTGCTAATTCAACTGCATGGTTCCGACGACAAAGTTGTGAAGCTCTAGATCGGTAAAACACGTATCCAGCTTCTTATAATCTTCCCTGGTTGGCCAACCACGTTTTTCTTAGACCACCCATACCGATGCAATAGTGTGTCAATTCCTTGGCCACAAAAGCAGCATGCCCTTCGGGTCTGTCACCTCCATCCCTGTCAAGAATGGTTCAAATGTTCCAGACACCGAATCGAAGTTGCCGGACCTTCGCCCTTCTCTGTTTGTAGTGACTAACTGTTGCAGTGTTTAAACATTTGGTACCTTTCGAGTGTTTCTGACTCTGCTGTAATTGTCCGAGCCGTGCTTGAACGCTAGACGCCTCTGTCTTAAGACGACTTTATGGTATCCAACACCTAGAGAGGTCGTTTGACGTTGTTGTTGCGTAAAGTAGGTGCGTTTGGCGCCGCAACAAACTCGACTTTTACAGATACTTTGGCCATATTATATAACGGTCGATGGCGACGGTCAGCAACTGGGTGAGCAGACTGTGCGATTTCCGCAACAAAATTTTGGCAACCTATGATTCTTCCAGAGAATACATAACCGTAAAGAATATTACTATCTAATTTCTGAATGTCTCTTACTATGTTAGGCGGTAAACATTGTCTTTTCAACTTTTCCGAACGCATTAAGAATACGTTTAGTACACTTAACTCAGGTAGCATGAAATTTTATTACCAAGTAATAATAAAGTTCGTGTATGCTTATTAAGTTCGATGGATGTTTTCTTTTTCCCGGAAATGTGAGTCTGGGGATTGATTTTTAATATTTTGGTCCCCAAAGCCCTCGGCAAAGATTCACCTTTCCTCTGTCCATTCTTGTGTGTTGCATGCTGCGATATGCTAAAAAAACTTTTCACAGATACTCTGTGGATATTGATTTTAAACTGACGTTTTACTATTCAGTAGAATCCATTGAGTTTGTAGCAACATTACCTGCGCTTACCAGTATCATTCATACCACTTGGTTCGTGAAGATAATCACTACCAAAACTTACCTTTTATTGACAGAAACCAAACCCAAGTTTCAGCTCTGTGAAAGATGAGAGTAGCAGTTCAGCTTCTCCGAATACATTTCACACACGTAAATCTGAAAAACAAAGCAAACGCATAACTAGGACCTTTTTAGAACCCGATGGCATAAACTAGACTTCTTTAAAAAGCTGTGGCTTAAACAAACTCGGAATACTGCAAATGTTGCTCGTTTCGTAAGAGATACAGGGGTTTTTCGCAAAGTTCTCAAGGATTTAAATCAGAAGTGAGTTTGGAATTAGGCCATATAAAACAAGTAATTATCTTCCTCCGTTATTTTCCTTGGGCGGGCTACACTTCTGTGGGTAGCATCAGCGGCATATTGAATCAAATGCTGATCAGTTCAGAGGTTTAGCTGTGAATAACTGTTCAAGAACGAAAGCGCTGGCCGTATTAGAGACGTAAATTACCATAACTGTAATCAGAAGTTATAGGAAGCACTTAAGGTAGTTCTTTTGTTGAAATAGGTTTCTAAGATGTAACGGCGAATGCCAAATTTTAGATCTAAAGTAGCTGAGTTTGCTGGTATCCTCGATTTGAAGTGTTGATGGTATTATCGTTCATCTAGTCACGGCTAACTTGTGCGCCAAACCCATCGCAACGCACATCATCACTTGTTTGTAGATGAACAAATATTTTGCACTTTTCTTATTTCCCGCTAATATTTCGTGACTTCTTTGTTTCACATCATCAGCTGCAAGAGCTGCGTACGTACTGTACAATGGTTAGGGCTGATAATTGTATTTGGCAATAATCTGTGGAGGTAGTTGTGAATAGCTACGCAAGAAAATCGGTATGTGTTGGAATCGAGCCCTTAAGCCAGGTATTGCGGTGTACATAATATTGCGAAAAGCTGAGAGGAGAGTAACGCAGTAGAGACAATAGCTTGACGGAATGTTCGACTGGGCTATGCCGGACAACGTCTCCAATAATTTTCGTGTTCCTTCTCGGAGTCCACACCCGAGGGTAACGCAAGCACCAACACAACTGAGTATGTTGACAGTGGCTTTAAAGCTTCGCTTCCGGATCATTTTTACTGTCATGGCGCGTAAAAAGAGTTTCCCAGGGAACTCGACCGGCTGGCATATGCAGCACATGACCAAAGTAGAACAATCCATAGAATTTAACCAGCTCATCTGTCATAAGTGAGATTTCGTTAGAAAAGTACTCTATGCACGTTGACATTATTAATATGATGGTCCCAGCAGATGTGAGCAATTCTCGGAAGGCCCCGATGGTCAAACACCAAGTTTCTTGACGCCTTCAGCGTGTAGTGCTAGCTTCACGACCCGTATAACGATATGAAGCACAATACTGCAATGTAAGCTCGACCCTTTGAGTATAAGTTGATGTCACGCTCACGCCAAAAGTGATACAGCTTCACGAGAGCTTCTTCATCCTTTCCACCCAGATAGAAATATTTGTCTACTATCTCAAGCTACCCAACTTCAATTCCTTGTCCAAGTTAATTATCTAGAATCGTAAGTGGGCAGGATGTGAACTACATCAACAGCAGAGTAGACCACATCATGAGTGACTAACTCCCAGTCACTCCCAGAACGGTTTCGTGTTGCCGCCTGAAGGTCCTATGAGTGAGCTGCACCAACAGTTCTGATACCGAGTAGAACAGGCATCAATGTAATTGAGTTCCGACAGCAAACTTAAAAACCACTTGAGAAAAGCAGTAAAGTAGGAGATGGTTATTGGCCAACGTACATTTACGTACGGTTCGTTAGTTGAACAAGAGCTCTGCACTGATATTTCCGCCTGTGATAATGTTGAAGATAGAGACAGTGGTCTTAAGGACTGATTTATAAATGGCATTTTCAAAAGCTCGCCTCAAATGCCAATTTTATGGTTAATTATTCGACCCCACAATAGGATGTGAATTGTTTTCAGCTGAGATCATGGATGAAATAAATCGTTTGGAAAAAGGTGTATGGCCCGGCTGATCCTTCCCTTCTTGAGATGAATAAGCTCACTGTCCACAAAAGGTCGCGTGCATCAGTTGATAGATAAATTGTGGGGTAACGAGTAATTATTATTATTCCAACCTTCAGAAACTTCCATTGGCCACGTCTCTGAAGTGTCGTTACTCGGGGATATTAACAAATCGAGTACTAGATTATCTGATTACTCACTCTTTCAGTGCCCCTACCCAGTATCCCAGATCGAAAAAGCAAGGCTACTAAATGCTGATTTAATCTGATGACAAACTCCCATAAAAAATCTGTGGTGTTAATCATTCAGACCGACGCTCATTAGTGATAGAGTCGGCTAATCATAACAAACCCCAGATTTTTTCTCTGAGTGGCTTTACACCCGGTCATTCTGGCAACTTACTCATCTGATCTGACGGAACTTCTGTATCAAAGGCCCAACAACAAGTCCACCGATTGTCGACTAAACCTCTCTGAACGATGACCACTCAGTAGGTCCCAGACATTCTTCAGTTACTTGAAAGGCTGCTAAACTTTTTGTCCATCAGACTGAAGTTTGCAGTCTGGGGGCTGTTCGTTAGCCTCCATACTGCTATATGGCCTTTTGCTGATGAGTTCGGCAGACAACGACAAGCTGAGCAGGGATTCATGTAGGATCAAAAGAGATGATCTTTATGCTTTCTTTTGACGGCCAGCTGAGGTTTATATTCCTCTCGGCTGCATGCACTGTTTCTGTGGGCTCTGTTGCAGGGGGTCAGTTAAACTGTCCTCCTAGTTCTCGGCCTAGTCTTCCAAATGATGCCTTTGCAAACAAAATGCAGAGCCTAATTCTCCGGTTAGCATTTCACTGAAAGTCACTTTCATTTGGGCAGTCAGTCATACTACGCGATTTAGGACACGAAAGTTCTTGGTGGCAAATGCTTTCTCCATCTCCATGACGTTATCTACCAAATTTTCCTGTTCATCTTTAGACTCTCCACTATTTGATTTTTGAGGGTCTTGTGTGCATTCCCGTGCTATTTCTTTTTTGTTACATCAAAGTATCAGTGTTGAACACTGATGTCGTGCTGTATATGACGATGATGTTGCAGGTTTCCTACAATTAAATCAGGGCTAGCAATTCCGGCTATACTCAGTGCTCATTGGACTGTGCCAGTGAAGTCAGCAGCCCTTTTACACAACATCATGCCTGACCAAAGTGTTTGGTTCCAAAACTGCAGTGGTCTACTAGAGAGAGTAGTTCCATTAGCCTAAATCGATAGTAATGTGCTATGTATTCCTCTGAAGATAGAGGATTGACAGGCATCCCGCTGGTCTGAGAGTGTCATATGGAAGGCAAATTATCAAATATTCCTGCTCTAGCTGCTGGTGGGAATCAAATTGAGTGTCCTGTAGGAAGCTTCAGCATCAGGTTGCTGCTATCTATCAGTCATACCGCTGCACACAAGTAGGAGTCAGTGAATATATCAAGTAACTGCGTTTTGGAGAGTGTTGATTAGACAACGAACCGTGAAAAGCCAACGGCCAGTTTTCCGTTTAATACTATCAATCAATCAAAAGCTCACTTTTTGTCGTGAGTACTTTGAGTATGTATAGAGCGGTAGTGGCAGTTTATCTTGCTGTACCTTTCAGTGGTCCACCAGTGGATGCGGAGCTGATGGACCACTGCACCAGAGCTAATTATGGAGCTTTAGTTTCACATCTTCACCGCTATGCTTGCAAGAAAGTGGAGTTAAGCAATCTAAACTTTACAGAACTAAATTGCTTATTATAGATCATCAGTTAGTACCAACATATTTATGTATATATATATATGCACTTTTAATTATTCACAGAGAAAGGTTAGTGCCTTGATCATCTATCAGATCACTTAGTTACAGATTACTGGGTCATCTATCAAATGCACTGCTAAAAATACGTTGCTGCCCCTCAAAAAGTTTAAAACAGTGCTTCACATTCCTGAAGAATTCTTGGAAAGTGAGCTGACCGTTTTTAACTATCCGTGTTTGTTACCGCTTTATTTATTTACTTATTACGTAAAACCCTAAACAACTGGCCCTTAGCAGCTCAAAATGGAGCGCTCAGTGAAAATACCAAATCAAACTTTAGTTTCGGCCGTCAAATATAAAGTTGTTTTATCTCTACTAAACAGCAAGCAAGAATTATTGACAAGCAAAAATAGATGGGCATAAAAAACACGCAGCAGCACAGTATAATTCCTTATTACTTGAAAAAAGATCTCGGGAATTTATTTACTACAATGTAACGACGGAATTTTCCCAAAACTTTCGCGTAAAAATGAGAGTAATGTAGCGATTTATCGGGTAAACTATTAACCCTGTTTAGATTTATCCACAATTAGTTACTTTTCATGCATTTTTGGCTTTAGCAGTAAAGAAACGCTCGAGTACTTAATATCCTTAATTTTCTATCGGAAAAGAATAGCGAAAATTGTGAAATGTAGAAGGGTGCATTTTGTTTTACTTTTTTCGTGAGAACTCAATTACAGTAAAACAAAGATTACATATAATGAGCACGAGACGTTTAGAAAGGTCATGCGAAAATTACACCCACTTTTGCTTTTTAACATTTAACTTGCCAGAAAAATCAACAAATTAGCCGAGGCGGTCCTACAGAGGACTTTTGGTTCCATCTTACTGGACTAATGCAAACCTTATCTCGTCCCATAAGGTGTACAATTTATGGCTGGAATGCTCTGCAGAATCAAGCTTTTGTACACCGTAGCGCCTGAAACCTGATCTGTAGCCTTTGCAATAGTGATGTCAGGTTTGATGTGCAAACTCATACTGTAAACAAAAAGGGGACAGACATGGGATATATTTATGATATCTATACTTATCGGTTGACGTTCGATTGAGACTGGTATAGTGGTCTGGCGGGTGGCCTTTGGTTGAATGATAAGATAATATTGAACGCCCGAAATTAAAAGCTTTGGGCATCTCAAAATGAGCGACCTACCGTTGAGCAAACGGGCTTGTTCATTTGGTGTAAGAACAAGCGCGCAAAACCACCCCGACGCTTTGCTGAATGACTAAGCGTCTTGCTCGGTAGCGAAAGCAGACGATATTTCTCGCTATTGAAGGAGAGCAAGTGGGA